TTAAAAGGATAAAAAAGAGATACTAATGAACAGCTCTTACATACATAAATAGATAGCTTAGATGGAATGAACTAATTTCTTGAAGTACAAACTATCAAAACTCACCAGAATGAAAACAGTTGGAATAGCTTTATACCTATTAAAGAAATTGAACCATAATTTAAAATGTCCTGAAAAATAAATCTTCCATCTCTAATAGTTTTACTGATATTTCTACCAAATGTTCAAAGATTTAACATGAGTTCTATATTATCATTTACAGAAAATAGAACACCCTTCCTAATCTTTTTACAAAAGTGGCATTACCCTGATACCAAAGCAGGTCAAAGACAGTGCACAAAAGAAAACTACAAATCGATATCCTCAAAGACATAGATAGCAAAAGCTCTGATGAAATGTTAGCAAATAGAGTCAAGCACCAGTAAATCTTAGCACTATATAAAAATAAATATATACTGCAACCAAGTGTAGTGAATTATGGGGATGCAGGATTGGTTCAGTATTCAGAAATCAGTCAATGTAATCCATCATATTAATAGGTTAAAAAAAAAAGGTTACAAAGTCACACCAGTTGATGGAGAAATCTTTTGACAAAATCCATCACCTGTTCATGATAAAAATGCAGCAAACTAGGAATAGAGTGAAACTTCTTCAGTTTAACAAAGAATATAAAAAATCTACAGCTAACATATTTAGAAGTGAATAACTGAATGCATTCCCTGATACTGTCAACAAGCCAAGGATGTCCACTTTTACCACTGCTGTTCAGCGTACCACTAATTAAGGCCAATGCAGTAAGAAATAAAAGGCATACAGATCAGAAAGGAACAAATAAGAGAGTTCTTACTTGCAAATGACATCAATCTGGAAATTTCAGATGCATTGTAAAACTCACTGTTTTCAACAAGGTTGTGGTACATCAGATGAGCATAAAAACATTCAGTCACACTTTGGAATGTGATGATCATGTAGAAGCTGAAATTAAAAATAGTACCTCTAATTAAAAAAACTAAATACTAGTTTTGTGAAAATTAAAAAACTGATGAAAGAAGTGAGAAACGTTCTAAATAAACGGAGAAACATACTGTGTTCGTGGATTAGAGGACTCAACATAATAAAGATATCTGCTCTCTTCAGATTCACATACAGTTAACAGAATTTCAAGTAAAATTCCAGCAAGATTCTTTTTTTGTAGATGTATACAAGGTTATCCTAAAATTTACTTGAAAAGTCAGAAATTAAGAATAGATAAAATAGTTCTAATGATGAAGAATTAAAGGGGGAAGTATCATTCCACCTGATTTCAAGTCTTATTACATAGCTGCAATAATAATGACAGTGTGTTGGTGTCAGGGAAAGAGACAGAATAGAAGACTGAGAAATAGCCCTATACAAGTATAGCTGAATGATTTTTGACAAAGGTACAAAAGCAGTTCAGGTAGGGTGGATAGTCTAAAATGTTGCTGGAACAGTTGTGTACCCCTAGGCAAAATAAGATCAAATGATCTTTAATCATACATAGATTAAATGGAAAACATTAAAGTACACAGCATTTAGAGATAAGGTCTTCAGGACCTAGGGCTTGGTGAAAGAGTTCTTAGTTATGAAACCAACGTGTGGTTCCTAAAAAACTTGAGAAATGGTACCTCATGAAAATTAAAAATGTTTGCTTTGATAAATACCCTGTTAATAACGTGAATGGAAAGATAAGCTACAGGCTGGAAGAAATATATGTAAACCACATATCTGGCCAATAACTTGTGTAGAGAACATTTAAAGAGTTATCAAAACTCAACATTGACAGGAAATCAGTCTAGTCAGAAAATGGGCAAAAGATATGAATAAACATTTCACTGTTATATATGAATGGTAAGCACATAAAAATATTTTAAGTACAGTAGCCTCTAAGGAAATGTAGATGAAGACTGATTAGATATACCACACATCTATTGGAGAGCTTAAAGTAGCCATAAAGCAAATACTAGCATAATACAAATGTCAGAAAATGGGTATCTCCATACATTGCTGGTGTGAATACTAAATGGTGAAAACCCTTTGAAAAACAGATTGGCTGTTAGAAAACTACATATACAACCTTTTTAATAGCTTCATTTTTTAAGACCATTATAACTTTTTTCTGTTTTTATGACAGAGGAATATGGCCTATGAAAACAATGACTTGAATACAATAGAAAATTGCTCTTTATTTCTATGTTTGTACTAAGTTTAAATAAAGGATTAGGGACTGTAATGGGAAATATTAATAGGAATATTATAGCTCTGATAAAGGAAAAGGTAAGTGGTTTAGGGAAAGGTACCTGCTGAAAAATACTTTTCCAGATTCCTTAAAGGTTTATTAAAGCTTTCATTGTCAGCATGGATGGGTTTTAGATTTGACTCTTAGTTTACTGAAATTGTTAAACTAGTTTGTAGTGGGTAGGTAAGAGTAGGGCTGAAAATTATGTAGAATATGGTTTAAAGTTTCAAATTAAGTCACTGATGTTTTATATATATATATATGTCACTTAAATGTCTTATTATTATAATATGGTTGACTTTTTAGGATATTCTACTGAGTCTGGGACAGGAAGTTTAGTACATGTGGAAGGGACACATCAGAAACCAATGTAGTTAAAACTGTTAAGTCATGTTGTATATCTGATATATTTTGTAGCTGTGTTTGAATTTTTCAAGCAAATTATTTTCAGAGACTTATTTCCCATTTTCTAGGAAGGCAGTACAATTCTTATATCAGGTTTGGGTTTGAGTTCCCTGATAGCTACTTTCTAGCTGAGTGACCTTTTGTAGATTGTTTTATCATCTTTAAACTTAATTTCATAGAGTTATGAGGATTAAATGACATTTAGTATGCTTAGCAGTTGATCAGCACAATGCCTGATATATGATAAGTACTCATAAACTGTTAATCTTTCTTTACCAGCTGGAAGAAACCTTTCAGATTCAACAACATACAAATGTAGTCCTCTATACTGGTTTTCTAAAGATGGTTATTAATGAATACTTTGGGAATATAAACAATCACAAGCTATTTTGATAAGATGCAATATAGTTGAGGTATGGTGCCAAGCTTCAGTCATTAACCCCCTTCCCATTTTACTCTGCTCGCAGAAGCTGCTTAGTGTGGAATATTGGCAGAGATGCCTTTGGAGATACTGCTGGTTGATGCTGGGCCAGGTGGAGGTTTTTTGTTATCTCATGAAACCTGAGGATTGTCCTTGATTCTTCCCTTGTCCTTTCTATGTACATCCAGTTGGTCACTTGCTAATTATCCCCTTAATATTTATCTGACTCACATCTTCATCTTGCCTGTCACTGCTTGCAAATCAGTTGTTCATTATTTCTCACCACAATTTCCTATAAAAGCTCCTTAACTGATCTTCCTGCTTCCTCACTAGTTGGGATTTTGCCCTGCCACTCATCCCAGAGGTAGCCTTCTAAAATGTAAGTTACGTCAACAGAGTTAAGAACCCTGACTATGGAATCATTGATTCCTGGGTTCAAAACCCATCTCTGCCTTATGTGGTCTTTGGCACATATCCTGTGCTTCAATTTCTTAATTTATTTAAAAGAAGAATAACTTCAGATCTGACCCACACTCACTGGAAAGATTGCTAAAAATACACTGCCTAGCTCCCACCCTCAGTTTCTGGTTTCCTACATCTTGGGTCAAGAAATCATAACTTACAAAAAGTTTTTCAGTGGTTCAGATACCCTCTTATGAGTCCTGAGGCATCACACACATTGCATTTAGGTTTTTGTACCCATTCTGTCTGATATTTGTACCCCCTTTGGCTAACTCCAGTGCCTCCTCTAGTACTTGGTTTTAGGCTCCTCTGTTAGCAAGCATCTGGCTTTCTTATTCTGGATTTGGTGATTTAGGAAGTCACCAGTGTAGCAACTCAATGTTCTATTATCTTCCTCAAATACACTGTCTAAAATAAAGGACAATACAAATGTATTTCAGTTCTGGCCAACTGTTTATCAAAACATAAATTCCTTTACTTCGTGGCAGTTAGCATTTTTCACTTCCTGGTTTGCTGTCTGTTTCTTCTAAGCAACTTGAGGATAGTAAATCCCATATCCTCAACTTCTTGTTATATAATATCAAAATTACATTTCTCATATAGCTAAGAGTTGCATCTTTACTTAAGTGAAGCACACGTGTAAAGCAAAGGGTCGGTATCCACGGACACATGTTGCATGAGGTCTGTTAGCTTATTGTATTACTTACTTGGATTCATTCACTTTTTCTACTTGTACGTCTCAGACTGACTGACCTTGGTTTTCTGTAGGTTTGAACTGGGACTTGGTAGGTGAGGACATTGTGGATGAAACCAGAAACAAAACCAGGAATGTAAAGAATTGTGAGCAAGTTTGTCTCTGGATTTTGTAGTGTTTTATGTTTTTTATTTAGTGAATCATTCCTAAATCATTTAGATTTGAATGTGTGGTTATGTTTCAAGCTCAAGGCATTCAAACTGCACATTGTAGTTTTCCCATTGGTAAAATGAGTTAATAGACTTGGATGAGCTCTGAAGTTCCTCCTAGCTCTAAAATTCCTGCTATTCCTAGTAAAAGTATGTACATAGGTGTCCAAATATATAGGTGTTACTGATAATAAAATAGACTCATTTTGTGTTTTAAGTTCTTTCCATTTTATAAATAACTCCATTCAGACACCCCCCAAAAAAACTTTGCTATACACAAAAGGTGTTACCTTTTCTTGATTACCTAGACTTTTTTCCTGGAAGATCTCTATAGCTTTGATTTGAATGTAATTCAAACTTACAAAAGCAGATGCAGGAAGGCTGATAAGTAGATATAATTCATGTTGTCATGAAAGAACTTGACAAAAATGATTTTTCTCAGTGGGCTGCTAGTGCATGAAGAAGGCTAAAACAATAAAAAAGTTCTTTGTAAGTGAATGTGATGGATTATTTTGTTTTTGAGTAACATTTAGGTCTTTGTTTTCATTTAAGTGCCAAGGATGACATTGATCTTGATGCCTTGGCTGCAGAAATAGAAGGAGCTGGTGCTGCCAAGGAGCAAGAATCTCAAAAGCCAAAGGGGAAGAAGAAAAAGGAGAAAAAAAGACAAGATTTTGAGTAAGTATAGTTTACATGTGTTTGATTTTTATTAGCTTTGATAATGGGTTCACTTATTAAACTAATCCAGTACCTCAAAATATATTGTAATCCTTTTGTAGTGAAGATGATATCCTGAAAGAACTGGAAGAATTGTCTTGGGAAGCTCAAGGCATCAAAGCTGACAGAGAAACCGCTGCAGTAAAGGTGAAAGCCAGATTGTTGTTACTTTCATGCATCCAAGTGCCAGTTTTAGGAAATTGCTTCTGGAGACTTTTGAGCAATGTATATATGTTTGTTAAGTTTGTATAAATTCTGATGCCAAAGGGGGGAAACAATTTTGGGGAATCTAAAGATACTTTGTGACATACTACCTGTTTGTGAAATTTGTACATTTGAAGATATAACATTTCCTACCTCTCCCTCCAATTTATTATTATTATTGTTGTTGTTTTTCATTCTTTGAATTTGGATAAGCCTCAGAGTAATGGGAAAGTGATAGATATTTTTTCTTCATTTCAGTTTTCCCCTTAGGCTTTGTATGCCATTTGAAGAAGGTGCTAAAAGTGTAGGCTGGTGGTTAGTGCTTGCCTCAGAGTACCTGGATTGTGAAATTTACAGTGAATGAGAGATGTGCCTGAGGCCTCCTAGTCTGGCTTCTAGTACTTGATTGAGTTTTATACTCTAGTAAAAATGCCCTTATTTTAAAAATATTTTGAGAATTGTTTCTGTGTGTACTTGAAATATATGACTCTGGGGAGTCTCAATTATTTTAAAAGATAGAACTCTATTAATATTTTTAACAATGGGAATTTTTTAGCCAACAGAAAATAATGAAGAAGAATCTGCCTCAAAACAAGATAAAAAAAAGAAAGGGCACAAAGGCAAAAAACAAAGTTTTGATGATAATGATAGTGAAGAATTGGAAGATAAAGACTCAAAATCAAAAAAGACTGCAAAACCAAAAGTGGAAGTGAGCTCTGGGAGTGATGATGATGATTTTAATAAACTTTCTAAAAAAGCTAAGGGGAAAGCTCAAAAATTAAATAAGAAGTGGGATGGGTCAGAAGAGGATGAGGATAGCAGTAAAAGAATTAAAGAGCGTTCCAGAGTAAATTCTTCAGGTGAAAGTGGTGATGAATCGGATGAATTTTTGCAATCCAGAAAAGGACAGAAAAAAAATCAAAAAAATAAGCCAGGTCCTGATGTGGAAAGTGGGAATGAAGATGATGGCTCCTCCTTCAAAATTAAGACCGTTGCCCAAAAGAAGGCAGAAAAGAAAGAGCGTGAGAGAAAAAAGCGAGATGAAGAAAAGGCAAAACTACGGAAGCTGAAAGAAAAAGAAGAGTTAGAAACTGGTAAAAAGGATCAGAGTAAACCAAAAGAACCTCAAAAGAAATCTGAAGAGGAACCTGTGAAATCCAAAGTGACTCTTGATACTGGAGCAACTGAAGAGAAAGGAGAGGCTTCCACAGTTGCCGAAGGTTGGTAATATTACTGAAGAAAGGGGAGAGGCTTGGATCTGTGTTTAATCTAAGTTTTGATGATTGTGTCCTAAAGTCATTTTGTTCTTTGTCCTTGATTATAAAGATTATAATTGTAAGAAACCTTCTAAAAATTATATCTAAGTACTTTTTATTTGCACTGTTAAACATTCATATATATATATATACATTCATATATATATATATATATCCATACACACACACACACACACACATATAGATAGCATAAAATGCCTTTCAAATGGTTTGTGCACAGACTAGGAGTTTAATAGGACTTTGCAGTAAAAAACAATTTTTTGCTATTGATAAGGACTGGAAGTTGTTTAATGAAAAACTTACTCTTCCTTTTGATGACTTAGTGTTATATAATCAAATTTTTTCCTGTTTTTTTAAGACCCCAATTCAGTCTATGAAATAGAAAAATAAAAACATGCTAAAATTAGTTAATATCTTTTAAGCAATAGTGAGTCACAATTTTGTACCAGAACCAATTAGTGAAAAACGCTTCTAGTTAAATTTCCCCATTACTCAGAATGATTTACATGTTTTTCTTTATAGACTAGAAAACTTTTAATGGGAAAATTGATGTAGCTTTTTAACCAACTGTATTTTTATTATCTGGACATCTTTGAAGAGAAACGCCATGAAAGTAGTTTCATAATCTTTAATCCTTTAGTATAATGCTGTAGAGTTCTTGGGGTATAATTACTTTTTTGTATTTTATCCTCCTACTCTCCCTATCATCCATATCATCCCTATCTTTTAGAAGGAAAACAAGTTACAGAATTTAGGAGTTTAGACACCATGGATTAAGAGAGAATTAGGTATGGTATACCTTCTCCTTGCTGATGGGATCCTCCTGTCTTCTTGTATCCTTTAGGACAGCTTGTAGCAACACCAGCATTGTAGGCTTCCAAGGAGGCCACCTGGGTTCTGAGTTGTTCTGGGTGCTCAGGTACTCAAGATTTGGGATGCTTTCATGTCTAGAATCCTTAGCCTGCTGCTGGCATCTGCCTTGGCCCATTGTGGTCCTTGAATTCTAGGGTTTGCTCATCATCGCATTAGGAAATAACATTTTTTAAATATTTGCCTCTTTTCTTTTTTGGTAGATGAAAATGAAGGAGACAGAAAGAAAAAAGACAAAAAGAAAAAGAAAGGAGAAAAGGAAGAAAAAGAGAAGGAGAAGAAAAAAGGACCTAGCAAAGCCACAGTTAAAGCTATGCAGGAAGCTCTGGCTAAGCTTAAAGAAGAAGAAGAAAGACAGAAGAGAGAAGAGGAAGAACGTATAAAACGGCTGGAAGAATTAGAAGCCAAGCGTAAAGAAGAGGTATGTTTTTGTGAAGTTGCTGACATTGACATTGTGTTTAAGTCTTCTCTCTATAAAATATCTCTAATCTTCTAACTCTAAAAATGTTATGATTGTATGGTGATTCAGTCAGTTTATTCTGATATAAAAAGATGAAGAGATACAGAAAATCCTACCTTTATTTCCTCAGGTACAGACAAATGGCTTATGTGTCATTGCCAATATATAGCCTACTCTTGTGTGATATTTATTATTAATCATAGTGTACAACATTAAACATATTTTCATTTGAAATCTTCCAACATACTGCTTTGCATGTATTTCAAGACCTTGTTTGAAGTTTGGGTTGTTTACATTTAAATTTTAGAATTCATTAAGTGAATACCATTTTTGTCTGCTATGTACTCTTTCATAGGAAAGACTGGAACAAGAAAAAAGAGAAAGGAAAAAGCAAAAAGAAAAAGAGAGAAAAGAACGCTTAAAAAAAGAAGGGAAACTTTTAACTAAATCCCAGAGGGAAGCCAGAGCCAGAGCTGAAGCTACGCTTAAACTTCTACAAGCTCAGGGTAAGTAGTATTCTTAATTATAACTGAACATTGTAGAAGCTCCTCTCATGCAGTTGTTTCTTTATAATGATCAAAAGGAGAACTGAATTGAATCAGAAGGAGAATCCCTGTGAAAATGCTGTGTAAAAAAGCCCAATACAAATGTAAAGAATAGGTGAGAAAATTTCATGATTTGGCAAGATGACTTTTATACTATGATAAGAATTTATGTGTAAATGATCATATGTCTGTAAATAAGGTTTTTTGTCCCCCAGAATAAACAAGAGTAGAGAATACAGGCATACTTCAGAGATACTATTGGGTTTGGTTCCAGAGCACTGCAATAAAGTGAATATTGAAACAAAGCAAATCGAATGAATGTTTTGGTTTCCCAGTACAGAAGAAGTTATGTTTATACTATACTGCAGTGTCTTAAGTGTGCAATAGCATTATGTCTGAAAATTTACATACCCTAATTAAAAAATACTTCATTGCTAAAAAATGCTAGCCATCACCTGAGCTTTCAATGAGTCATAATCACTGATCATCATAACAATTGTAATGGTAATGAAAAAGTTTATAATATTGCAAGAATTCCCTAAAGTGACATAGACGCACAAAGCAAGCAAATGCTGTTGGGAAAAAATGGCCCTCATAAACTTGCTGAACACAGGGGGTTGCCATAAACCTCCATTTGTAAAAACTCATCTGTGAAGCACAGTAAAGTGGGAGCACAGTAAAATGAGGTGTGCTTGTGTAGTAAAATGAGGCCTCATGTACTTGTCACTCAGTTTAAAAAATTACCAACATTTGCCATTCTTGTTTTGTCTTCCTGCATTTGTTTTTTCCCTAGAGTATTAAAGTGAATTCCAGACAACATATTAATTTTACTTTAGTATATGTCCCTAACGGATAAGGATATTTTGATTTTTGACATACATAGAGTACATATTACATCTAACCAAATTAATTCCTTGATAATATCTGATTTTCTGTCCATGTTTAATTTTTTCCACTTGTTTGCAAAATTTCTTTTATTTGTTCAAATCAAGATCCAGATGAGATACATTGCATTTGGTTGATAAGCTCATCTCTCACTCATACAAATACCACCCCTGCTTTGGCTTGCCATTTACTTGTAATTTTTTAAAAATACGGCATTAGTCTGTAGGATTTCTCATTCTGGATTTGTCTGATTGCTCTCTTAGAGTTGGCAGTATACCTCTCTATCCCTTGTAATCTCTTTAGACCTAGCAGCTTGTCTTCCTAGTGGTGCAGTGTACTTCCTGTTGCTTCATGTCAGGAGGCTCGTGATCTGGCTGTCTTGCTTCTAACTTTGTCAGGACTGATCTTTATGTACATGTTGGCAGCCTTCTCCAGTATAAAAGTTCTCCATAGACTTTTCACCTAATAATTTTAATGCTCAATTGGTGATCATTGTCCATATCCAGTATTTCAGTAGGAATTGAAGAATTGTAATATTCTGTCATTCCTTTTGCATTTATTAGTTATTAGTCTCTCTCTAAAGAAAAGCTTTCCCTGAAATAACCGTTCATGCCAGAAAGCCAGGATAAATGCTTAATGCTTCCTCTTTTATTTATTAATTTGCAGAAATAACAAGTTGGTGTCTTAGCAATCTTGAGAGGTGATCAGTGGGTTGAATTTTGTTTTTTGGATGTATATCATTTTATTTGAATGGATTTGTATGTATTTGATGTGTTTTCATCTGATGGAGTAATGTATGTTTTTGATACCCAAACTGTCCCACCTTTGGCCAGCAGGTGCCCATTCAGGTTGGTTCCTGTGACATTTTCACTTGGCCATAGTATTCTTTGACCTCTTCCTTACTTTCTAACACAAGTTATCTTAGGTTCGTGTTACATATTTTCTGCTCTAGACCTGGAATCAACTGTTTACCCAAGGAGCCTTGTTTCCTTTTGGTTAGAGACCACAATTTGGACATAAAATTATGTGTTTGACAGGTGAGATGATTGAAAATAGTGGCTTTGTTCCATTGAAAAGAATGTAGTTGGATTTTTCTTAATTTCCTGTTCCTATACTCCATAGATTTTTATATTACAATAATTTTGGTTCTTAAGATATAATTATAGTAATACCTACTACCATTTATTATATGTTTAGTATTCAACTGATGTCATAATAAACCTTTGACACTGTTTATTTCCTCATAAAATCTTATAGGTATTTTAATTCCCATCGTATAGATGAAGAAATGGTGAGTCAGGTTAAACAGCTTGCCCAAGGTCCTAGAACTGAGATTTATGCTCTTTTATGCATTATATGTTCAGATGGGAGCAGTAAATAGTAGAGAAACATGCTACTTAGATTTCAGAAAGTATTATTCTTAATTGGTAATAGAGCTTTTTAAAAAAAATTAGAGAACAAATTTAAGTACAGCTTAGCACCCAAATGTCAGATTTGAGTGGTGACTATCTAAAAGGTTGAAAGCATTCATGAGGAAATTTGAATGGGACCAAGCAGAAAGTAATTTGCCAGTTTCAGAAATGCTGTTTTATGGAGTAATTCAACTTGTATTTTGAGATTAGATAAGATTTACAATTTAAAATGATAAATTTAGAATAAATTTTAGGGCAGGCTTGGAAGAAATGGTCTCTTAAAGTGGCATCTCTGGCCCTAGTCTCTGGTCCTTATTCTTCATAGTGTTGCCCAGTATTTGTGCTCTTACTGGTTCCCTACTGTCTGTTAATAAAAAAGCCCAAACTTCTTTACCTTGACTAAAAGCCCTCCACAGTGTGCTCTTTGAGTCATGTCATGAAAAGATACTTTAATATTATGTTTCACCGTATCTTTCAAATCTTCCTGTTTAGGTAAAGATCAGTTACCACATTCATTACCTAGAGTAATATAAAAATTATTCATTGAGCCCAAATGCGCCCTTAGAGAGTGTGGATATCTGCGGATGTTTTCAAATAATTACTCTGAAGTATGTTGCAGGTTACCTTTTCCATCCATTCTGTAGCCTTTAACTAAGCATATAGTAAATAGTAATTTGGAATTACTCACTTCCAGCAAGGAGCTTCTGCAAGACTTTGAGTGTAATGTCTCACGGAGCTTCTGCAAGACTTTGAGTGTAATGTCTCAATTTGAAAAGTGAATGGAATGTCTGAACACATATAAGTCTTGGTGTTGGTTACAAATACTGCAGCTTATTAAGCAATCTCTAACTAGAGACTAAGCTTATTAAGTCTGGAGTGTTGTTGGGGCCAGCCTTCAGGTCATCCAACTCATGGTTTTCTCTGAGGTCCATGTGCTCACTAACTAGGTTAGGTATGTGCTGCTGGACAGAGAAAACACTGGTCAACCTGATTATCTCCACATATTTGGCTGGCTCAACCTTTTATTTTGGTTTGCTTGTCTAATATATTTGTCAGTGATACCTCTGGTTTTACAGTTCTAACCAAACTCTGCACATACATGCATACATTCATACTTTAAAGTTAACATTTTTGAGTGATTTTCCTTTTTTTAACAACATCATTCAAAACCCTACAGTGAACCCTACAGTGAACAGTTTTTACTGTTGTCTTACAAAATCTTTGCCCTTAGTGAGGGACTGTCAGTAACCTAACAGAGGTGATTAGGAACTTACCTTAAGCATTTGCTATAGGAATAGGTAGGAAGGGTTGCAGCAGAGAACCATTCCATGTGTAGCTATAAACTGCTTCTGGGATTTAACTGTTACATTGCCTAATGCAGATATATTCTCTTTGACATTGATTTGCTGATGTCTTAATTTAAAAAATTCACTTATTTGCTCAAATATTTAGTAGAGAATATTAAAACAAATGTTCAAAGCTGGATAATAACCAAGAGTTCAAACAGAAATAAATTACTGACCTAATACTATTTTGTTTTGGATAAGTGTTTTTAATTGAATCTTACTTGTATTTGCTTTTAACCAGCTGTCAAGCTGGGTATAGTTGAAAAAGGTAGACATTAACTTTGCTTTGTAAAAAACTTCTGTCATACTTAGTATTAGTTTTCTGTTTTTGTTGCAACAAATTTAGTGGTTTAAAACAAGACAACTTCATTAACAGTTCTGTAGATCATAAGTCTTGATACAGCTCCTACTGGACTAAGATGTTGGCAGGGTTGTGTTCCTTTCTGGAGTTTCTAAGGGAGAATCCATTCCCTGTCTTCTTGAGGCTACCTGTGTTTCTTGGCTCATGGCTCCCTTCCTGCATCTTCAAAGCCACCGGTGTTGGCATAGTTCTAAACCTTCTTTTACAGTCACATCTGTCTCTGACCTTAGCTTGTACCTCTGTGAAAGGTTCTTCACTTTTAGGGACTCACGTGATTAGGTTGGACTCACCTGGATAATCCAGGATAATCTCTGCCATCTTTATTAACATTTGCAATGTCCTTAACTTTATTCACATTTGCAATGTCCTTTTTGCCACATTAGGTAACATCACATGTTCTGGGGATTAGAGCATGGATATCTTCGATGATGGCTGGCAGGTGTAGATTATTCTACTTACCACACACTTGAAACTTTATTTTCATTTTATTTATGAGTTCAATACAAGTAAAAAATTTTATTAAAATTATGTGTCACTGTATTTTCATAAACCAGAATCTCTTGTCAGTGAGCAGTGAGCACATAACTCTGAAATGTGCAGCAATTTACCTGGTACTGTTTATTTGCTTTGTCTTGTCACTTAGTCCTTAAATAGATAGTAAAACACTATGTCAGGCCAGACATAGATGACCAATCATAATGATAATCAGAAGATATATAAATGGTGGCAAATTTTGCATTATTAATAAGTGTTTCGAAGGGTAGGTGTTAAATTAGGACCTACTTTTATCTTTCTGCTATTCCTGTCAGATTGCTAGAGGCCTTTGTTTTGGATGGAAAAGGATGGTTAAAAAGGTGGAATTTGCCTTCTTTCAACTGTGACCTCATTTTGGCTTTTCTGCATTTTCTGCTTTCTGTTTCAGCTGCTTCTGGTCCAAAATTTATGTAAGAAGTAATGATATTGGAGATTTTTCTGGACCTTCTGGGGGATGTGAGATAAAGAGTTCCGGTATTTCCATCCTTTCAGCTGTACACTTTAAAAATTATTTTGTTACCTTTGGGTTGGCTGCATTGCTGAGTAATCATTTTTATAACATTAGAGGGGTAATGTTACTTGGTTAGAGGGGTACTTGGTTACTTCTCTTAGGCCAGAAGAGCCAAGGAAAGGGGTCAGTAATGGCTGGAGAGTTTGAGAAGACTCCACATTATTTTCTCTCCCTTTCTTTTTTCTTGTGGCCAAATGGCAGCTCCACTTATGTGGAACCTCACAACATAAAGGGTAAGACTCTGAGAGGACCTTGTTTTTTTGGCCAGAGGAACCAGAACAAGGGGCTCCTAGGAGCCAGAGCATGTAAGGGAAATTGTGGAGAGGAGAGAACTGGAGAAAGAAGATCCAGTTTATGTACTGATACAAATCCTGAGCTCACTATGTTAGAACAGGCCCAAAGAAGCATGGCCAATACTTAAAGAACTGAAGTGTGATATAAAACACTTCCCAAGCCAAGATTAACCTCTGAATGGCTTGTGTGCCAGGTAAAATAGTCATTCTAAGTATACTGTGTGGAAAGTCAGTTATGAATATTCTAATCCTTATATCAGTCACTGAGTAAGATGGAACCCAAAAGTCAGTAGATAAAGAGGAAACCTAAAAAAAATTTCAAATAATCCAAAAGAGAAAGCAGTTAAATGGGGACCGGAAAACAGAGGGAATGAACAAATCAAATAGTAAAATGATAGGCCTGAAACCAACCATACTAGTAATGAGGTTAAATATGAATAGTCTAAACATATCAAAAGAAAGAAATTGTCAGAAAAACAAGAGCCAGCCATGGGCTATCTGCAAGAAATCCACTTAATTTACTGATATGGAAGTATAAAAATAGCTATCAAAGGAAAGCTGGAATTGTTATGTTAATCTGAAGTTCACTTCAGAACAAGTTCAGTTACCAAGAGATGTGTTACATAATGATAAAAAGAATTCACCAAGAAGATAGAACAAATTTTGTATATGTATGTACTTAACCACAAGTTCACATCAAACATTCACCAAGATAGAACATATTTTTGGCCATAAAACAAACTTTAAAATGTTTGAAAGAACTAAAGTCATACTGTGTATTTTTTGGACTAAAAGAAACTAGAAATGAGTAATAGAAAAACATGTAGAAAAAGCCATAAATATTTAAAATTAACACATAACCTGTACATCTGAGAGGAAGGCTTGTTGGAAATTAGATATCTTAAATCTAAAAACAGGAAAATAATAGCATATCAAAATTTATGGGATGCAGCTAAAGCAGTGCTTAGAAGGAAGTAAAGTTCAGAAACAAAAAAGCAATAGGAAACAGAAAAATAAGAGAATCAAAGAAGCCAAAGGCAGTTCTTAAAAAAGATGAATAAAATTGATAAAGTTCTGTACTAAGAAAAAAAGATACAAGACACAAATTACTGATATCAGGAGTGAAGGGTGGGGAGGTATGTCATTATTACAGATCCTACAACTATTAAAATTAAGATAAGGCAGAACTAAAATGGTCTATACTGATAAATTCAGGAACTTAAGTAAAATAGGACCATTCTTTAAAAGACATAAACTACCAAAGGACACAAAGAAATACATACCCTGCATAGTTCTATATCTAATTTAAAAATACACATCTCTATCTATCTAGATTTTAAGCTTAAAAATTTCCAAGAAATTAAACTTCAGGCCCCTATGATTTCACTGGGGAATTCTAACACATATTTAAGGAAGAAATACTGCTGTTAATGAACATCTTCCAGAACTACCCAACTTATTTTATGAGGATAGCATTATCCTTATACCATAGACAAAGACATAACAAGAAAGGAAAACTACAGAGTAATATCCCTCATCAACAAAGACACAAAAATTCTCAACAAAAGATGAGCAATTTGATTTACGTGTGTGTGTGCGTGCAATTTGATTTACTGTGTGTATGTGTGTGTAATTTGATTTACTGTGTGTGTGTGTGTGCAATTTGATTTACGGTATGTGTGTGTGTGTATGGTGTGTGTGTGTGTGTGTGTGTGTGTGTATTTATAAATTATCATGACCAAGTGAATTTTATCCTGGGAATGCATGGCTGGTTTAATATTTGAAAATCAGTAAATGTATTTTACCATCTTAACAGGCTTAAAAAAGAGAAACTACATGCAGAAAAATGCTGAAAATTCATTGGACAAAATTCAACATCCGTATATGACAAAAATTCACAAACTAGGAATAGAAGGGAACTTTCTTATCCTGATACAGGACATCTATAAAAACACAACTGTTAACACTTATGGTGAATGATGAATGCTAAACTCTAATGCTGTGTTTATGGCAAGAATACCTCCTCTTACCACAGTCATTGGACATCACACTGGAATGTACTATCTTTGCCAATTAGGCAAAAGAAAGCATGCAAATTGGAAGGAAGTAAAACGCTATTTACAGCTGACAATTGCCTATATAGAAAAATCCCATTTAGTCTATCCCCCCAAAAAATGCAGAATCCTACAGCTAATAAATGTAAAGGTTGTGGATAAGGCCAGTATGGAAATACCAATTGTATTTTTGTATGCTAGTATTTTGTATACTGTGTAAGTGCTAACTTAACAACTGAAAATAAAAAATTTTTAAACAGTGCTATTTACATTACAGTAGATCCCTGAAAAAGAAAATGAAGTACTTAGTTATAATTCTAATATTTGAGGGATCTGTATGTTGGAAGTGTAAAACACTGATAAAACACTGATGAAGATAATAAAAGATTTGTAAATGGAGAGATGTTGCATTCATAAACTGGAAGACAACATTATTCAGATACCAGTTTTCCCGAACTGATCTGTAGAGTCAATGCAGTCCCAATCAGAATTGCAGCAGGATATTTTGTGGGTTTCTGTAAATTATTTCTAAAATGCATATGAAAAGATAAAGGAGTTAGGATGGCTAAAACCTTTTTGAAAAAGAATTAACTTGAAAGACTCACAACATCTGATATCAAGACTTGCTATAAGGCTATAGTAATCAGTACAGTCTGATATTGGCAAAAGGATAGATCAGTGGAATAGGATAGTGTCTGTGTTACATATATGGTTAGATTTTTTTTTTCCCCTGTCATAGGTAAAAGACAGTTCAGTAAATAAAAATAGTGTTTACATCTCTCTATGCCAACAAAACAAAAAAACTTAATCCTGAATCTCATTATATAAAAATTAACTCAAAATGGATCGCCAATCTACATATAAAGTGTATATCTATGAAACTTTTAGAGGAAAACAGAAAATCTTTGTTCTCTTGTGTTAGGCAAGGAACGCTTAGTTATAATCTTCAAAAGTATAATCCATAAAAGGAAAAAATGATAGCATAATTGAAAATGATAGTAACTAAAACTCTTGCTTTGCAAAAGACACCATTGAGAGAATTCAAAGCCACTACCTAAAAATCACATAATGGACAAAGGATTAATGTCCAGAAGATACAAGGATAACTCAAAAAGTCAATAAGAAAAACAATAACCTATTAAAAAATGGACAAGATTTGAACAGTTCACCAAGAAACTAAGCACATGAAGAGAATGCCCAACATCGTTAGTTGTTAGGGAAATTCAAGTTAAGACCACTATGAGCTATCACTACATAATTATTGGAATATGTAAGTTAAAGAAAAAAACCCAAACATCGAGTCTCTACCAAATGCTGGGGAGGATGCAGAATGGTTGAAAGTCTCAGAGTTACTGGTGGGAATGCAAAATTGTAAAGCCACTTTGGAAACAGTTGTCAGTTTCTTACAAAATTAAATGCATGTTTACCTAATGTTCCATCATTCCTATTCCAAAATATATACCCCAGAAAAATGTTCACACAAAAACTTGCATACCAATGTTTATAGGAGCTTTATTCATAATTGTTGAAAAACTAGAAACATATCCCATCCACTATAATGCATAAAGGAACTCTGGTACATCTGCATAATGGAATGTTACTCAGCAATAAAAACAAATGCATATTGGTACATAGAGCAGTGAAGATGACTCTCAGATACATTATGATGGCAGCAACCAGGCTACAAGGTTTCATTCTGTGATGTTTTGGAAAACAAATCTTTTGGGATAAGAACCGATCAGTTCTGGACTGAGGGACTGAGGATGCGACTTGGTTTTGACTACAGAACAACACAGTGATAGAATTATTCTGCATCATCGTTGTATTGGTGGTTGCATAAACCAGGCATTTGTCAAAAATCATATAGAACTGGACTCTAAAAAAGAATATTAATGTATAGAAATTAAAAAAATACCTTGTTTGAAAAAGGTTTTTCCATGGATGTTTTATAATTTAGGGTATGCATTTTGAGGTGAGTAAAATGTTACCTAAGTAGTATTTCTTAGCTGACATGTAAGTAATATGAATCTGAGTTTTCCACTTTTATCCACAGGTGTTGAAGTGCCATCGAAAGATTCTTTGCCAAAGAAAAGGCCAGTTTATGAAGATAAAAAAAAGAAAAAAACACTACAGCAGCTAGAAAATAAAGAAGGTCTGTATATCCAAATACCTGTGATTTAGAAACAGTTTTCTTTGCCTTTTTTCCTACAGTTTGCAAAACAAGAGTGCCTTTTAAAGAGACATCAACAAATCACAAATGCAGATTGAAACTTATTTCCTATGCCTTGTTTTTTATCATTATCATTCTTAACTAATTTAAATGACATGTTAATGGAACTACTTTTGTTTGAAAAATCTGGATCTTCCCCTAAGAGTTACCCTTAACTTAAAAGCTCAACTGTCATTATTATTTTTGTTTTCTTTTCAACCTTATGTAATTTTATATTCCATTTCTTGAGAAGAAAAGAAAAACTTTACTGTAAAATATGTAACTGATATTTAGCCAGTTTCTAAACTTGCTAAAGAATTAAGGTTTGCACTGCTGGTTTTTATTCAGTCCTTAACATAGTATCCTAATGGAAATTATGCACAGAAAAGGTATTGCTAACTTTGTTTCTGCCCTGTTTTCAGTATCTGAACAAATAGAATTAAGTGCTACTGTAGAAGTTGTGGAACAAGTACCAGAAAAAGAAGTGACACCACCTCCTGTTGAACCAGGCCAGTAAATAGTGTTGATGTGTCATAAGTTGTCTTAGTTATCATTAGTTGGAGGAAACCCAATATCTGGTGGGGTACTCTTCTTTCTTCATGGTTCTTTTTCTTCTCTAGACCATTTATTTTCATTTCCACTTTGAAAGCATGAAGTGAAACACAAATCAGTTTTGTTCTTTTCAGTTGTGTGAGTAAAGTGTTTCATGGGACACAGGTTTTTGGAATTTCTTGGACATTATAATTTACAGGTCAAAAATCTTAGGTGGTACCAAAGAAGAGCTGAAGTTCTTTATTTAATCCTTCAGAAGCTAATTTGAAGCATTGTTAAGCCTTTTTAGAGATCTGCTATTTGCTAAATCAATAAGCAGATTCACTTTATTCATTGTGTGTTTTGAGGTTGGAGAATATCTCTGGCATTCTTTTTTTTTTAAGATAAACATTTTCTTATTCATGAGACTAGCTCTTGATAGGAGAACCAGAGGCTAGCTACACATGTGTTTGTTAAAAAAAATCAAGAGAATCTTTGGTGTTTAAAGATACCAGTGAGAGTGAGCGCAGCTCTAGAGAATATCAAGACTGATCCACACTGGTGAAAGATATTATTGATAATTCCTCTCTGTCTTTTTCCCCTCCTGTTCTCAGTATAAAAAGGGTCATATACCTGGGAACCCCTCAGCTTAGCATGAAATTTGTAATTAGAGAAATCCAGGTTGATATACTAATTAGCAGTCCACTACTTTAGGTGTTACAGCAGTAGTAAGAATAGCTTAATTTAGAAGGATGTTTGGGATACATGTACGTGAGTCATTTCTTCCTTCTCAGGATGACTCATCCAAACATGTTGGCAAAAGTAATTATTACAAGGAAGCAAATACCACATGTTCCAACCTCATCTTCCTTTAACTTGATAATAGTTTTATTTGACTGGATTTCAGTAAAAAGAGTCATTATTGTTACAGTGAGTCTTTAATATTCAGAATTACACCTTCTTCCTATTTTGGGGTTTTAAGCACAGCATTCTCTTGTTTTAGCTGGAGTAGAGTTGTAGCTTTGTATCTTCAGCTCTGTAATTTAAGTATTTGTGTATGTCTGTAGAAGTTAACAGTAAAATAAGTAATTCTTATGTATAAAGTATAACTTGAAAGACCAAAAAGAAGATACATATATGTGATTTTCATTCATCCTCAGGAGTGTAATCATATGTACCCTTTTCAAGGTGTAAAAGAATTTTTAATGTGTGAATTTCTAATTACCTCAAATATGAAATCTGATTTAAATTTAATATGGTATATTCAAAATACTAGGAAATGGGGAGGCATTTGGTAATAGTAAATTACAACATACTAGCTGTATTGAAAAATAGTTCTAAAGATAATGAAATTGTATACTTTTTTGCATAATTAAAACATTTCTTTTTATGTTAACTAATTTTCCACTGTTTTCTAAGAGCAGTCTCATATTGCTAGATAATTTCTGTGCCTTTAATGAAAACTTCATTTACAGAAGAGGAAGAAGAAACTGAAGATGCTGGATTGGATGATTGGGAAGCTATGGCCAGTGATGAGGAGAGAGAAAAAGGTAAATAGCTTGTAGGCATGTGTGGATAAATCTGGTGGTTTGCAGAGGTGTGTGTATTTAAAGGAATAGTCAGCCTCCCAATTGTAAAAGCCAGAACATTCTTGAGGATAGGGACAGTTTTTTGCTCTCTACATTGCTGGGTTCCTAAATTAAATGAGGAATGTGGTTCCTCATTTTATGAATAAATTGTTTTTGTGAGGTTGTCAGATGCCTAGGAAATAGAATACATTTTTTAGAGTGATGTTAGTAATGGGGTTAGGTTATTAAAGCTAGCCTACAGAAGACCCTTTAACTTAAAATATAATACAAAGATAATACAGATAAATAGTATAGTTCCTAATCACTATGAATAACAGGCCTTTGCTTTTTCATTACTTTCTGTTCTTTATTCCTGAGATCTTCCTTTGGGTTTAATTTGCTGGCTTATTTCATAGCTTGCTGAGATGGGTATTTGGCTTTCTACAACTATAAGTCTTTCTTTATGGCTGTAGCCAAATTCTACAACTTCTGATATGTTGATATCTTAAAATTTCCATCTTGATATATTAACTTTTACCTATGATTTATTTAGAAATTTCCATTTTGATATATTAACTTTTCCTATGATATATCTAGAAGTATATTTCATAATTTACAGATGGTGGGGTTTTCTAATTATCTGCTGGTTACTTCTCCACAGAACATACATAGTTCTATCCTTTGAAATATGTTGAGACTTAATTTACAACCCAGCAAATGGCTGATTATTATAAATGTTCAATATGTAATTGAAAAGAGTTTATATTCTCCAGTGGTTGGGTGGTACTTTGTTCTCTATATTTAGTCAAGTTTGCAATCATTTTGTTTAAATCTTTTATGTTCGGAGGTTTTTTTTGGTGTGCTTTTTCTGTTACTAAGAGTAGGATGTTAAAATCTCCCATTATGTTTCTACATTGTCTATTTCTCCCTGAATACTGTTAAGTTTTGTTTTATTTATTTATATAATATAGTTAGGTGGATACAATCACGTCTTTCTGATGAATTGACTTTAATCATTGATTTATTTTATTTATATATCTATGTTTTATTAATTTCTAACAGTGCTTTTTGCCTTAAAGTCTGCTTTATGTGATACTAATATAGCTATACCAGCTTTGAGTTACATGATCTTTTTCTATCTTTATTACTCTTCCTGTGTCCTTAAAACAGCATATGCATGAGATTTTTAAATCCAGTTTGTCAATCTGTGTTTTATCCAGTTAACCCATTACATCTGACATTTGATGTAAATAATGAAGTATGTAGGTTTTATATTTGTCATCTTAAACATTTCTTATTCTGTTTCTTTTTCTCTCCTTTTAACCATATTTGGATCATTGGATTTTTTTTTAATTCCATTTTTTTTCTTCACCCAGTAACTTGGAAATTGTGTACTTTTTTCCTACTTAATTTTAGTGTTTACTGTAGAGACTTTCAACATGGATCTTTGAACTATCAATGTCTAAGTTACCCTCTTTCCAGATGGTAGCAGAGACTATAGAATACATGAACAACATTTACCCAGTTCTCAATTTATCATTGTTCTCATTTATTTTAATTTCCTATTTTAAACTCCATAATAACTTATTATTTTTACAGTCAGTATTTAAGTTTACCCCTATGCTTAGCATTTTGTGGTGCTTCATTCTTCCTGTGTTTCTGATCTTCCATTTGGGATCATTTCTTCTTGCCTGTAGAACATGTTTTAGACTTTCCTTTAATATGAATCTAATAAATTCACAGTATGAATATAAATAGCATGGATCTAAATTTAGTAAGACATTCCATTTTTGCTTTTCTAAAAATACCTTTATCTCATCTTCACCTGGAAGGGTATATTTACTGAGTGAGGAATTCTTTGTTGAAATTCTGCTTATTTAGTACTTTGAATGTATTATTCTCTTGGCTTTTGTTATTTCTGTTTTGAAGTCAGGTGTCAACCTAAATGTTTCATGTGTTTAATTTGTTCTGCTTGTAGAGCTTTATGAATGTATGGTTTTGTGTTTTTATCAGTTTTGCAGTGTTAGGAACTGTTATTTATTTCCCCTCAGGGGTTCTAGTTAAAGCTATGGTAGACCTTCTTACTATATCCTTATATCTTCCTGTTTTGTGTATTTTCCAGTTGAGTCTTTGTGGTTCATTCTAGATTATTTCTAATGATCTAAACTTCTCGTTCATTAATTTTCTCCTCAGCTGTTTTTACTCTCTTGTTAAACCCATCTCTTGAGTTTTTAATTTTGTCTTTAGTATTTTCCAGTTTTAGAATTTCCATTTTTCTATTTTAGGTTTTCACTTTCTAAAATTTATTTTATTGCTTCCTTGATGTTGGAAGCATAGTCATTTTTAAATCTTGCTTTTATTACTTCAGTATATAGAAGCCAGCTTTCCTCATGTAATTTTTTTCTCATGTGGCTTGTTTTTATATATTATGATGGATATTATATTGTAAAACTATAGAAATAATTTGAGGTCAAGCATGGTGTTTTCTTTCTCCAGAGAGAAGTTATGTATACATTCACTAGAGTCTGAATGAACTAGCAATATGGAGTCATCTTATTCCGGATTTAGAAATGGGAGAATCTGGAGGTGATTTGCCAATAATGGGGAGGCCCTGTTTACTTCTTGTTCGTCCTACAGCCTGGGTGCAGTTCTTCAGGATTTCACCCCACATTAAGGACCTTACCCTGTGTCCGTCCCTCTCCTTCCCTGCTGAATACTGGGTAGGCCTAGTGCCTGGGCCCCTCAGCAGTGAGGGGCTATTAAAAGCACTGCTTAGCTTTTGAGTGGCTTCCTCTCTGATTAGCAAATGACCCCAAGGGGAAAGAAGTACTAAGCGTTGTGTTCACCTCCTAGGATCTCTGTTCCCTCTCATATGCTGGCTTAGTAATGCTTTTACTTTAAGTATGGATTGATGCATTAAGTTTTTACTGTTAAATGGCAGTGTTCATTGTAGCATGCAGACACACACTTTGCATTTATGACATGCGCAGTTTGCATTTAATAATGTGTTGCAATGCTTCTGCCTTACTTAATACACTTTCAGTACTGTTTTCTCTTTAAAGTCTCTTATCTTGATAGAAATCTCTCATTTTCAACTTGTAAAATTTCTTTGTTTTCTTGTTAGAAGGGAACACGGTACATATAGAAGTAAAAGAAAACCCTGAAGAGGAGGAGGAGGAGGAGGAGGAGGAGGAGGAAGAAGAAGAAGAAGAGGAAGAAGAGAGTGAAGAGGAAGAAGAAGAAGGAGAAAGTGAAGGAAGTGGAGGTGATGAAGATGAAAAGGTGTCAGATGAGAAAGATGCTGGGAAAATGTTAGATAAAAAGCCAAGTAAAGAAATGAGTTCAGAATCTGAATATGACTCTGATGATGATCGAACTAAAGAAGAAAGAGCTTATGATAAAGCAAAACGGAGGATTGAGGTATTTATTTTTCCCTTTCTCCCTACTCCTCCTCTCTTGTCATTAGAACTGTACTTTACAGCTAAAGGCTTTTATTGAGCAGCACTGTAAGAGTATAGTCTCAACTTGGCATCTTGCCCAGGTTTTATATGTTGAAACATAATGGATCTTTGACTCGGATCTAACCAAAGGGCCTTACTCCCTTAAGATAGAATGGCAATGGCTTCATAATTTTTTTTCTTGCTCTCTCCAAATTATAATGTGCTCTTTGAGTGATGGTTTTTAGGTGTGCAGAGGTATTCTGAGCATTTACCCTCTAGTTACAAACATAGGTTAAGAATTTTCCTTGCCTAGTTAGGTTAGTTACCATGAGGCATCTGATCATTTTAGTTGTATAAATCTGATGGGGTAATTAAACTTCTATTTAGTAAAGTCTACATAGATAGTAGGCTTACTATATTTTTCCTATTTACTGCAGTAGACTTCAAGAGAGGATTTTCTTTAATTATGTCTTAGCATAGCTTAGTTTGGCATAAAAATACACTAAAAGGTACTTTAGTTGTAAGGATGAAAACTATTCATCTTTTCAGGTGTAATTCTCATTTTTAAACTTTTGTTTTAATCATTATGTATCAGTGTTTGCCTTTTTCTTTAAACTTTAAGTAGGGATACATTTTCTGAAGGGATTAAGAAGGTCTGTTATAAAATGGGCCTCCCCATCCCTGCACTATCTGTGGCCAGATAATTCTTTGTTGGGGGAGACTGTCCTTTTCATTTTAGGGTGTTGAACAGCATCCATGCCCTCCACCCACTAGGTGCCAACAGTAGTCCTCTCCCGTCCCCAGGTGTGACTCTGCTTCTTCCCACAGTACTTAGGCACACCAGCTCCCTTATATAGGCATGTGTGAGAGAGTTTGTATTGTGCTTGATTTGATGGTTTAAAAAAAACAAAGTGGGTATCAAGATGAAAGTAAAAGTTCCGCATTATCTCACTTCCCAGACTTGTTCATAGTTCTCTGTATGAGATTCAAGTTTTTAAAAATGGTTAATTGAAAATAGGGAATATAACATTTTGTAGATACATATTCTTTCCACATTAACAGTATGCTATGGACCTCTTAGCTCAACAGCTTTTTAAGCAGCTTTGTTGAAATATGATTTACATAAATAAAATTGATACATTTTAAGTGTACAATTCAGTGACATGGTATAAATTCACAGAATTGTGCAGCCATCATCACAACTCAGCTTTTTAATACTCCTATTGCCCCAGAAGATTCCTTGTACCAATTTGCAGTCATTCCCCATTTGTACGTAGCTCCAGGCAACCACTAATCTACTTTCTGTCTCTGTAGCACTGCCTTCTCTCGAAATTCAGCCACGTAGCATGTGGTCTTCTGTGTCTGGCTCATTTTGTTTACTCTATTCATGTATGTGGTAGCTTGTCAGTGCTTTGTTCCTTTGTGTTGCCAAATGTTTTTTTTGTATAAATATGCCATATTTTATTATCCATTCATCAATTGGGGGACATTAAATTGTTTCCACTTTTTGGCTATTACAAGTACTATTGTTATAAACATATGAGTCTTTGAATGGAAATGTGTTTTAATTTCTTTTGGATATATTCGTAGGAGTGAAATTGCTGAATCATGGTAATTTGTGTTTAACTTTTTCATAAACTGCTAAACTATTTCCTGAAGTGGCTGCACAATTATAGATTCCCACCAGTTAAAGATTTTTCTTTCTCTACATCCTCACTAATACTTGTACTGTCTCTTCAGTTATAGTCATTCTAGTATATGTGAAGTAGTATGCTATTAATATATATCAAGTTATTTCAGTTCCCATTCTTTGCTGTAGCATTTCTTCATGAGCTTATTGGCCCTTGTATCTTCATTTGTGAAACATCTATTCAAATTTTGTCCATTTAAAAATTTTGTCATTTGTCTTTTAATGAGTTGTAAGAGTTCTTTTCATTTTTTAGTAGTTTATTTCAAAGTGAGCAAATTTTTAATTTTGATAACATCCAGTTTATCACATTTTTCTTTTATAGAGCATGCTTCTGGTGTTGCACTGAAGAAATCTTTGCCTAACCCAAGGTTATGAATATTTTGTCCTGTGTTTTCATCCAAAAAACTTAACACCTTTTGTTTTTTATATCTTTAGGTCATTTTTCTGCAGAAGTTTGTGAAGGATTCTATTTCCTATTTTAAAATTTTGGCAGAATTTTAATGAAGCTTTTTCCTATGGGAAGATTTCAAAATTACTAATTCAGTTTCTTGTTATATTATTACATAAATAAAATGATATATATTTATCATAATTATAAATTATATATAAGATTATTTGGTCATATTTTCTTTTTTGTCTTGAGTCATTTTCAATAATTTTTGTCTTTCTAATAATGATTACATTTCATCTAACTTCTGAGTCTAAAATTGTTTATAGTATCTATCCCTTTACAGTCCTTTGAGTTTCTAATAAGTCAGTAGTGGCATCTTCTCTTTTGGCTCTAATATTGGTGATGTGTCTCCTCTTTGTTTTTCTCAGTCTGTATAGCTAAAGGTTTTCTATCTTTTTGATCTCTCAGAGACCTAACTTTTGGTTTCATTGGTTTTTCTTTATTTTTGTTTTCTCTTTAACTGATTTTTATTCTGCTCTTTATTATTTTCTTACTTTAGTTTTGGTTTAGTTTTCCTCTTCTATTGCTAATTTCTTAAAGCAACACCTTAAATTATTGATTTGGGATCTTTTCTAAAATCATACAGACATTTACAAGTACTGGTTTAGTACTGCTAAGTACTGCTTTAGCTACATCCCAGAAATTTTGCTATGTTGTGTATTTGTTTTCATTATGCTCAGAGTATTTTCTAACATACCTTACTATTCTTTGACCCATCTGTTACTTAAAGTATATTGTCATTATTTACAAATATTTGTGGATTTCCTCCTTTTCCTTCTACTGTTCTGAATTCTGACCACTTTGGTCAGAGAATATACTTTGCGTAGTTTTTATCAGTTAAAAAAATTTAATTTTAGTTCATGTAAATAATAATTTTACCATTTTAAATATTGAAAAATTATAAATAAAACTTGTTTTGTCTTCTAGCATATGATCTCTTCTGGAGAATGTTTCTTGTACACTTAGGAAGAAGGTGGATTCTGCTGTTAGTGGGTCTGGTGATCAATTTAAGTATATTTAGTTGATAGGTTGTTGTTCAGATTTTCTGTATACTTGCTTATTTTATGTGGAGTTTTTCTCTCCATTATTGAGAGTGGGTTATTGAAGTTCTCAAATTTATTGTTGAATTGTATATTTACTCCCTCAATGCTGTCAGTTTTTCTTCATGTATTTTGGGGCTCTTAATGTATATGTTTATGCTTTTTATAATTCTTCCTGAGATGATAGATACATCTCTGTCACTAATAATGTTTTTCTGTCTGATAATATACCTACTCTAGCTCTCTTATAATTACTATTTGCATGGTATGTCTTTTTCAGTCTTACTACTTTTAATCTATTTGTGTCTTCAAATCTAAGGTGTCTCTTGTTGAGAGCATGCAGTTGAATCTTGCTCTTTTATCCAGTCACCCAGTCTGTGTTTGAGTATTTAAATTGATTTACATTTAAGTTTACTATAGATATGGTTGGATTTTCTTCTTTGTTTTTTTGCTGTTTGCTTTCTACATATTGCATGACTTTAAGTTATTTTCTTCATGGTTGCATTACAACATGCATCTTCATTTATCATTATCTACTTTAGATTATTTGTAGCTTAATTATAGTAAAATACAGACTTTGTTTCCATATAGATCCTTTCTTTCCCCCTTCCTTTATGCTATTACTGTGACATATGTTTATGAATGTTGTAATCCTAATAGATCAGTGGTGTTTAATGTCTTAATTTGATCCTGAATCTTTTAAAGGAATTAAGAGAAGAAAGAAAAATTCATCTATAGAGTCCTTAATATTAACATTTTTGGTATTACTCATTTCTTCTGGATTTGAGTTTCTCTCTGGTGTCATTTCTTTGCTACAGTATAAGTCTCTCCCTCACCTTGCCTTTGTGTACTTTGTAATATTTCTTACATCTTTATATATTACAAGCTCAACCATGCAATTTTGGAATTATTGGTTTGTGATATTATTTTCTAAATTAGGAAAAATAGAAAAAACATTTCTATTTCTGTATGTGCTTTATGACTTTGCTTCTTTTTTCTTGATGTGGCTTTGAGTGGTTTTCTGCCCATCTTCACTTCAGCCTGGTGAACTTTATTTCTCATCATGCTGATCATCTTAGCAGTGAATTTTCAGTCTTTGTAAATCTGGGAATTGTTGTATTTCACTTTCATGTTCAAGGATAGTATTCCTGCATTCATAATTCTTGTTGGCAGGTTTTTTTTTTCCTTGTTAGCCCTTTAAATATGTTATCCCATTGCCCTCTGGCCTCCATTGTTTCTGATGAAAATTAAGCTGTTAATTGTATTTGGGTTCCTTTATACATAATGAGCGATTTTTCTCTTACTGTCAAGATTTTCTTTTTGATCTTGGCTTTTAAAAATTTAACTATGATGTGTCTTGGTGTGGATACCTTTGTATTCATCCCACTTGAAGTTCATTGAGCTGTTTAGATGTGTAGATTAATATTTTTTTGTTAAATGTTGAAGTTTTCTGCATTATTTCTTCAAATGCTCTTTCTGCCTATTTCTGTGTCCCCTGTCCTTCTGGGACCCCTAGTGTATGAACATTGGTGCACTTGAAGGTGTCCCATAGACTTCCTGGATGGACTGTGCATTTTTCTTCATTCTTTCCATTTTCTTTCAGATTGTATAATCTCTATTAATCTGTCTTTAAGTTCTCCTTGTGATTCTCCTACCAGTTTGTATCTACTGTTGAGCCCCTCTAGTGAATTTTTAAATTTGTAATTGAACTTTTTAAGCTTCAGAATTTCCATGTGTTTTTTATTATGATGTGTTTTGATATCCTCTTTTGATCAGTCGTCACACTTCATTTCTTTAAACATAGTTCCCTTTTGTTTTTTGAACGTTTGTTATGTCTGCTTTCAAGTCTTTGTCTGCTAAGTTGAGTATATGAGACTCTCATACAGTTTCTGTTGACTGTGTTTTTCTTACTATGTTATAGGTCATATTTTCCTGATTCTTTGTATGTCTTTTAATTTTTTGTTGACAAGTGAGCATTTCAAAGAATATAGTGTAAATCTGAATTAAATGTTTCTCAATTTGTTATATGCCTTTGGTCAGTTTTTTAAGTGGTTGTTTTGACTATTCTGTCCAGTTTTACCTTTTGTTTTTGGGGAGAGGATTTGCTGAGCCCCTCATTCCATCATTCAAGAAGTCCTGCCTCAGTACCTTCAACAGCTGTATGTTGTGTTCTGTTTTACAGAAGGATCCTAATTTAACTTGGTATTAGTTGACCTCAGCTGCCAATAACAAAATATCACAGGCTAAGTGGCTGAAACAACAGAAATTTATTTTCTGACCAGTCTTAAGGCTGGAAGTTCAAGATTAAAGAACCAGTAGGGTATTATACCTGGGTTTTAGAAAACAGTCATTAAGAAATCCCCCACTAAAGAAGATTAACTGGTTAGTAATTCTTCTATTATAAACAATATGGCAGTAAACAAACATTGTTGTACATGTCCATCTTTATATACTTGTCCTGTTATTGCTTCTTAGATATGAATTCTTTTTAGACAGATACTTAGGGGTAGAATTTTTGAGTTAAAGTCTGTATGGCCTACATTGCCCTCAGGAAAACTTGAACAGTTCACCAAGTGTGGGAGAGAAAGGCAGTTTTCAACCATATCAAATCCTCACTAAGGTCATGATGTTCTTGTTTGAGTTGTACATACTGTGAAGCCATGGTGTACTTATTTTTTGTTAGTAGATACTTGCATTTCACTTTTGACATTCTAAAGTAATTTTTTCATTCCAATTTCTACAGAAAGATCCATTGTCTAGTGGTAGAAATAAAAGTAAAGAGTTCTTACAAAAGTGGTAGATGACATTACTTCAGAGTTTTGATGAAAGTTTTATCTCATTTGAATGACATCTCTACTTGAAATGTCATTTCAGAGAACTGCTGGCATGTGGTTTGGTTCTCAGAAAGCTGAAGTGTTTAGGTAAATGAGATAGAAAAACACTGTGGTTCAAGGACAAGCTATCTCATGGTTAGTGATACCTTGAGAAGGTAGAAAATGTTGTTGGATCTTTTGTGCTGAGGCTTTAAATAAACCCTCTGTTGGAAGGTTTTATAGCATTTGTACACTGGGTAAAGCTTTGAAATAAGTTGCTTTAAATCTTTTTTTCTTTATAGTTCTTACGTTCTGATGAAATAGTTTGAATGCAAGAGTACACCTGATTTTATATAACCCTCCACATATGTTAGAGGTTGTACTTGTACATAAGTATGACAAATAGGTCAGTTCCTTCTATTCATCATATTCCACTAAATTTGCCATGTACAAAAGTACTCAGAAAGTTGGAGCCAAACCTTTACACCATTTTATTCATATTTAACAATGCTACTTTGAAATCTATTCTAAATGTATTTGTCTTTGTACACTTGTACACAGGTACTGTGATGGGAATTAGATTGTAAAGTTCACATTGTAAAATGCAGTTACATGTCATTAAATCAACAAAGAATGTGGATGAAGACTGTGGCATTCTCTTGCCAAGGCAAAATAATATAAAGTAAAATAATGATAGTGATGGTTTGAAATAATACTTAATTTTGTGATTATTATTTTTCACTCCTAGAAACGACGACTTGAACATAGTAAAAATGTAAATATGGAAAAGCTACGGGCCCCTGTTATTTGTGTACTTGGACATGTGGATACAGGGAAGACAAAAATTCTAGATAAAGTAAGAAAAAATAACTCTTACATGTTGATACAACCTTTTAAGTAAACTAAAGTTTATTTAAAAAAATCCTAAATAGACACCGTAGCACATATAGGCAGTTCTGTTTACAGTAAATAAGTTACTACTTTCTCAGTACTTTTGCTTCTTTTTATATTTTGAAACACATATCTGAACCTGCTGTCTTATCTCAGCTCCGTCACACACATGTGCAAGATGGTGAAGCAGGTGGTATCACACAGCAAATTGGGGCCACCAATGTTCCCCTTGAAGCTATTAATGAACAGACTAAGATGATTAAAAATGTAAGTATACTGTATTTTGTGTGTTTTAATCTCTAACAAAACTAAGGCATAAATTTTTTCCGACTTAGGGGAAAAAAGGGCTGAGTATAACAGACCTATATTCTCACTATTTGTAATTAACATATGTGCCACTCTGCCTTATTTTGTTTCAGATCCTTTTTAAGAAATAAAACATTAGATGTTGTAGGAACCCTCATATTTCATGTCGGCCCCTCTTGCTCCAAGAGCCAATCACTATTCTGAAGTTAGAATAGTATCATGCCCCTCCAATGTAGATCTCAGTGTTCAAAAAATTCTGTTTCCTTCCCCACTTCCTTTTTCCTTCTATCAGATTAATTATATTTTATCTCCTTTATTTTCTCTACTTTGGAGATAGTTTATGTTAAATATAACACAATAAAGAAAATCACATAAGGTTAATGTAAAGCTTAATCATTATAATGTAGACACCCTTTTTGTCACCCATGTTAAGAGATGGCCAGTTACCTCAGAAGCCCTGTATGTCCCTTTCCAGTTAAAACCCCTCTTCTTCCACCCAGGAGTAACTTTGAAGTACTCTCTACCTTTCAGTGTGTGAGAGGTTATAAAATGTTGATATTCCAAGCCCATCCATCTTTATTTATTGGGTTACTCTATAGAGCAGCTGTCTAATTTTTTGTCTGGTTACTCAGGAAAGGCACAGTAGACACTTGAACCTTTTGTTTCTAACCAGCTTTTAAAATAAAGAGTGACCAATTTGATTCTGTATTAGTATAAACTCATGGATTTAAGCATATTTACAGTGTTTTAACCCATTTCATTGCTGTGCTGACACAGTCCCATCTTTGCCTGTTGGTTGGCTCCTTTGATACAGTTCTGGTAGTCTCACTAGTCTTTGGTTGCATGTATAGCAGGATGTTCCAGGCTTATCTTAAACATGCCATGACAAAGCCTGGAACTGAGCCTTGTAAGTAATTCTGGAGTGCCATTGTCATGTAACAGGTGAATTGAGAAATAAGATGATTGCTGAAATACAGAGCATATATTATTACATTCTAGTGTTCCCTTTTATTCCTTGCTTAAACCTAGTACTTTATATAGAAAGGATCTGTGATCTTTCTCTCTCCAGTTTTTGTTTTGTTTTGTTTTCAATTGTGTTTAATAAGCCTTGTTTTCTGGTGGACTCCTAAGAATAATGGGAATAACATTCGTTGAGATTTTTTACTATTGAAGAGTTCTTTGTGGCCTTCATCCTGGAAAGTCAGGTGGCTACGTATAAAATCCTTGATTCACAGTTTCTTTCCTTAAGTATCCAAATTGGTACTTCAGTTTCTTCTCACATAAAGTATTGCCTTTCAAATTTGATCACAAGCTGCTTTTCAACCTTTTAATGTGGTCTTTTTTCAACTTGGGATTGCTTCTTGTGGGTTAATTTTCTAGTTATGTGGTGTTGCAGTTCAATATGTAGTTTAAAATCTTCATTTTAGGATAGTTCTCTTGAAATTTTAAATTTGTGACTTAAAATTTACTTTGGTTTTATTTTATTTGCTATTTCTATGTGTTAGCCACTGGGGAGTTTATAACAGCTTATTCCATCAGTTGCCAGACCTGAAATCTGGTGTTATTGCAGAACATGATTTTTATTAGGCCTGTTTTAAAGTTCTCAGGGTAACCTTTATATGACAGTTGTAATTACATTGTTTGTATTGCTAACACTTAAATGGAAATAATTACAGTGCTTAGGGAATGTTGTCAAGACCACCAGAATGCAAATTTGAAATGTTTTACATTTGGATTGATCTATGTCAAAGCAGGAGATAAGAGTTTGAAAAATCATCTAAGATTGACAAAAAATACAGATAAGCGAAGTAAACAAAATTTTGTGTGTGTTTATGAGATTTGTTGGTTAGTAAAAATTAGTTACCCTTGAGGTTAAAAGAGAATGTTCTTATCAGGGCTGTTGTAATGTTGTTTCCATTCATTAATGTGCTTTTGTTCAGAAAATCAAATGTTGTGGTGTTATTTGAGTTAAGCTTTAGGCTGATATGGTAAGTTTTCTTTAAAATATCCTTGGGATATTTTTCAGAGTTTAGAATCGCTCTAAAATTGGACCAGATAAATTTTCCAAATACAGAGAAACTCTTCTTGTATGTTAGCTTTTTATAGATAATCACTCTCAGATGACTGATGTCATTGGTTACTTACTACTACTACTATGCTCAGTTTAGACTATATCATAGTTTTATAAAACATTACCAAAGGGAATATTTTCTCATTTCAGATTTTTTTTGTAAAACTGTTGATAATGAAAATGTTAATGCTTATACTTCCTCATTAACTTACTTCATAGACTATTTTAAAACAGTCTGTTTTAGAAAAGGAAATGGTATTTTTAAGTTACCATTGGCAGAGTAATTGTTTTGTAAAGGAACTTGAATGATTTTGGCTTTCTTAAGCTTCCCACTTTTCCTACCTTTTCTAGTTTGATAGAGAGAATGTGAGGATTCCTGGCATGTTGATTATTGATACTCCAGGGCATGAGTCTTTCAGGTAAGTGCATTTTGAGTCTCTTGTTATTCCACAATCTGCTTGAAACCATTAAGTCTAAAACTGAGAATGTTTGGTCAATCATTACAGTTGCCCTGTGAATAATGTGAGAATTAGGTGTGAATACCTCCTATATAGTCAGAATTTGGTTTTTGACTCTCCAGAAACTTAACCAGTAGCCTACTGTTGACCTGAAGCCTGATAATATAAGCAGTTGATTAACATATTTTGTATGTTGTATGTATTCTATACTGTATTTTTCCAATAAAATAAGCTAGATGATAGAAAATACTAAGAAAATCATGAGGAAGAGAAAATACATTTGCAGAACTGCATTTATTTATATTGTTTACATCATCTGTTTGCTACATCAATATTGTCTCATATGATACAAAGCACTGTAGATGTTATATGTATTACTAGCGTTACACATCAAAGATTAAAAGATAATGTCAAAATACATATTTATTTACAGGCATGACGATTCATGCCCTGCTAATGGAGAGGCGGAAGTATGATTGCCTTCTGGTAGTCCAGTGTAATCAGTATGATTGGTTTGCTGTAGCCTAGCCTACACACTGATGAATGAATGGCTAGAAAAATATTTCAGCATATAGTGTTACAGTCATAAGACAGTACTGGAAACAGTGTTACTTAAAAAAATAAAACACCTGCATTGATAGGCTGAAAAGCAGTTTCATCAGTGAGAGTGAATGGCACACTGTATGGTAATACAATTCTTTGAAAACAGTTATGAAACAATAAGAAAACTAATGGGGAGGCAGTAAAAGATGGTGACATAACAAGTGAGGCAGAAACCTTCCAAAACCACATATAAATGAAAATGCAGCAAATACAACTAATCCTGAAAGAGCAACTGGAAAGAATACTTCAACAGATGGCCTACATCTGGGGAAAACAGAACTCATGGAAAAGGATAAAGTAGCAAAGCTGTGATCTGGCTAGACCCAAGACCTTCCCCTGACCCCAGCTAGCTGGTGGGAGGAAGATAAATGGAACGGGGAGGGAGTAGAAGTCCAGCACTGATAAACACCGACCCCTAGAGATCTACTGCAGGAGCACGAACCCACATTACATGGTGCTCTGGAGATTATAGGGGTTGGAAAGCAAAGACAGGCAGAATACTTGGACAGACTGAGATTCCAGCTGCTTGTGGAGAACAGGTACCCACAACTGGCCAATCCAGGATGAAAGAAAGGCACTTTGAGAGACTTCCCAACAGCGAGAGGGCTTCTAACAGGGTAAGGATTACATGAAGCTTGCTGCTCAGAGAAAGGACAGGCAGACAAAATCATCCTGGCACACTCAGCCAAGCAGATTGTGAACATTCAGGAGCTTCAGGCACTCCTTCCCCCTGGCTGGCGATGCAGCGCCAGGGCCTGACACTGCAATCAATACTCAGCCTGACACTCATTCCTTCCAGTCAGCATTGGTTCACAAAACTTGCCCCTGGCGTCACACCAGGCCAGCTGGAGTGTGACCCCTGCTACATCAGCTACAGGGGCATAGCATAGAGGCTCCTCTATGGACACTCAACCCACTGGCCCGGGCACTGGAGGCAGGCACTGCAGCCCGGAAGCAGGAAAGAGTTCTTCTAGGCAGGCATCTCTCACCTGTGACCCCTGCCTGTGACCCCCGCCATCGCTCCAGGTGCTGGGCAATTCCAGAGAGTAGAGCTTCTCTGCACTAGAGTGTGCAGCCTACACAAATTAATTATTCAATGGTAATCATTAAAATTAAGAGATGGCAAAAGAATCTTGTATAAACCCACATCCCTCAAACACCAGAAAGAGGGCTAAGTGAAACTAAAATCACCAATCTCATTGACAAAGATGTCAAAATAAATATCAGAAACATACAGAGCTATAGAAAAATATACAAGATCTCAGGGAGGACTTCAAGAAAAACTATGAAAAATACAGTATCTGAAATGAAACATACAATGATGGGATTTAAAAGCAGATTAGAAGAGTTAGAACAGATGGTAAATGAAATGGAAATTAGAGAACAGGAATACAAAGAAGCTGAGGCACAGAGAGAAAAAGGGATCTCTAGGAATGAAACAATATTAAGAGAACTGTGTGACCCATCCAAATGGAACAATATTCACATCTTAGGGGTACCAGAAGAAGAAGGGGAGAGAAAGAGGAATAGAAAGTCTCTTTGAGGAAATAATTGCTGAAAACTTCCCCAATATGGGGAAGGAAATAGTCTTTCAGGCCAAAGAAGTGCACAGATCTCCTAACACAAGGGACCTTAGGAAGAAAACACCAAGACATATAATAATTAAAATGGCAAAGAGGAAAGACAAGGAAAGAGTATTAAAAGCAGCCAGAGAGAGAAAAAAGATCACCTACAAAGGAAAACCCATCAGACTTCTCAACAGAAACCTTACAGGACAGAAAAGAATGCCATGATATGTTTAATGCAATGAAACAGAAGGGCCTTGAACCAAGAATACTGTATCCAGCAAGATTATCATTTAAATTTGAAGGAGGGATTAAACAATTTCCAGATAAGCAAAACTGGAGGGAATTTGCCCTCACAAACCACCTCTACAAGGTATTTTAAAGGGACTGCTCTGGATGGAAGTACTCCTAACGCTAAATAGATGTCACCAGAGAAAATAAATTCACACCAAAGAAAGCAGACAAACCAAATACTAACTAAAGGCAAAAAGTAAAATCAGCTATTCACAAAAGCAGTCAAGGGAAACACAAAAGAGTACAGAACAAAACACTTAACATATAAAGAATGGAGGAGGAAGAATAAAAAGGGAGAGAAATAAAGAATCATCAGACTGTTTATAATAGCTTAATAAGTGAGATAAACTTAGATGATTAGATAGTAAAGAATACCCTTGAACCTTTGGTAACCACGAATCCAAAACCGGCAATGGCAATAAGTACATATCTATTGATAATCACCTTAAATATAAATGGACTGAATGCACCAATCAAAAGACACAGAGTAACAGAATGGATAATAAAGCAAGACCCATCTATATGTTGCTTACAGGAGACTCTCTTCAAACCCAAAGACATGCACAGACTAAAAGAGAAGGGATGGAAAAAGATACTTCATGCAAACAATAGGGAGAAAAAAGCAGGTGTTGCAGTACTTGTATCAGAGAAAATAGACTTCAAAACAAAGTAATAAGAGATAAAAAAGGACATTACATAATGATAAAGGGGTCAGACCAACAAGAGGACATAACCATTATAAATATATATGCACCCAACACAGGAGCACCAGCATATGTGCAACAAATACTAACAGAATTAAAGGAGGAAATAGAATGCAATGCATTCATTTTAGGAGACTTTAACACACCACTCACTCTAAAGGGCAGGTCAACCAGAGAGAAAATAAGTAAGGACACAGAGGCACTGAACAACACACTAGAACAGATGGACCTAACAGACTTCTACAGAACTCTCCACCCAAAAGCAGCAGGATACACATTCTTCTCAAGTGAACATGGAACATTTTCCAGAATAGACGAAATACTAGGCCACAAAAAGAACCTCAGTAAATTAAGAAAGATTGAAATTTTACTGGCCAACTTCTCAGATCACAAAGGTGTGTAAAACTAGAAATAAATTGTACAAAGAAAACAAAAAGGCTCACAAACACATGGAGGCTTAACAACATGCTCCTAAATAATCAATGGATCAATGACCAAATTAAAACAGAGATCAAGCAATATATGGGACAAATGAAAACAGCAGTACAATGCCCCAACTTCTGTGGGTTGCAGCAAAGGCAGTTCTAAGAGGAAGTATATAGCAATCCAGGCCTATTTAAAGAAGGAAGGACAATCCCAAATGAATAGTCTAAAGTCACAGTTATTGAAACTCAACAAGAAGAACAAATGAGGCCCAAAGTCAGCAGAAGGAGGGAAATAATAAAGATCAGAGAAGAAATAAATAAAATTGAGAAGAATAAAACAATAGAAGAAATCAATGAAACCAAGAGCTGGTTCTTTGAGAAAATAAACAAAATAGATTAACCCCTAGCCAGACTTATTAAGAGAAAAAGAGAATGTACATACATAAACAGAATGAGAAGTGAGAAAGGAAAAAGTCACAATGGACAAATACAAAGAATATTAGAGGATACTATGAATTATTAGAAATACAAAGAATTATTAGAGAATACTGTGGAACTCTATATGCTAAAAAGCTGGATAACATAGAAAATATGAACAGTTTTCTAGAAAAATACAGTCTTCCAAGACTGACCAAGGAAGAAAAACAAAATCTAAACAGACCAATTACCAGCAATGAAATCGAGTCTAATCAAAAAACTACCCAAGAAACAAAACCCACAGGCCAGATGGATTCACCACTGAATTTTATCAGACATATATAGAAGACATAATATCCATTCTCCTTAAAATTTTCCAATAAATAGAAGAGGAGGGAATACTTCCACACTCATTCTATGAAGGCAGCATCACTCTAATACCAAAACCAGGCAAAGACCCTACAAGAAAAGAAAATTACAGATCAATATACCTCATGAAAACATAGATGCAAAAATATTCAACAAAATAATTAGCAAACTGAATTTAAAAATACATCAAGAGGATCATACACCATGATCAAGTGGGATCATGCTGCAGCATTCGAAATCCATCAACATTATCCACCACATCACCAAAAAGAAGGAAAAAAATCACATGATCATCTCCATAGATGCTGAAAATCCATTCAACAAAATTCAACATCCATTCATGATAAAAACTCTCAACAAACTGGGCATAGAGGGCAAGTACCTCAACATAATAAAGACCATATATGACAGACCCACAGCCAACATCATACTTAACACTGAGAAGCTGAAAGCTTTTCACCTAACATCAGGAACAAAACAGGGATGCCCACTCTTCCCACTTTTATTCAACATTGCACTGGAGATCCTAGCCACAGCAATCAGACAAAACAAAGAAATAAAAGGCATCCAGATTGGTAAGAAAG